TAGGAAAAAGGAAGGAAAAAATCACCAAAACATAAACCAGAAAAGAAAAAAAAAAGTTTTTTGTGAAACTTTCTATCATAATAATTTTTAAATGTATACAAGAGTTAACAGTGAGTCACTATGTAGTAGATTCCACAAATACTAGGTATTTTTACCTTGTTTCTGGCATGCGTGCATGTGTGCATCTTTGTGATTGTGTGTATTTGCAATAAAAATCTATAGATACAAACATTTATTTACTTAAAATATTTATATATTTTTATTTTGAACCACTATAGAGTAACAAGTGTCATGTTAACCAAAATTAATTTAGACCCATTTCTTAAGAATAGAAATAATCTGTAACATACATACATGCAAGTACACACACATACACCTAAATTGTTTTTAAAGAAATATACATTCATATATATATATATATATATATATATATATATATATATCACTAGGATGCTTAAGCAAATTAGCAGTAATTCATAATATAAACTATCAACTCTCCCAATTTTACTAGCTGTCCTAAAAGCTTCTGTTTATTTTTTTCCCCTGAGCCAGGATCAGATCATGGCACATGGGTGACATTTGGCAGTATGCTTGGTCATTGTAGTGTAGAAGAGCCTTCCCATTCGAACCCATTTTGTTATGGAATTGACCTTCTGATCATTTGCTTAGGAGAGTTGCCAGAATTCTGGATTCCCATGTGTTTGGTATGATTTGACTCATTCTTTCATTACTTTTTTTTTTAAAAGATTTATTTATTTTATATATGTGAGTACATTGTAGCTGTCTTCAGACACATCAGAAAAGGGCATCAGATCTTGTTACAGATGGTTGTGAGTTACCATGTGGTTGCTGGGAATTGAACTCAAGACCTCTGGAAGAGCAGTCAGTACTCTTAACCACTGAGCCATCTCTCCAGCCCCCCTTTATTACTTTTAATTCTTATAAACTGAAAGTTAGGTTTATTTGGTTAAATTCGGACTAAACAAATTACTAAATCTATTTCATAGATGGTTACCTATTTTTATAATTCTGTATATAACCTCTCTGACATAGCCTTTCTGTTTTAGTAATAGTAATTCTTTGGGTGGTGATCTCAACATATCAAAGGCAGCTTTTGTTTTTGTTGTAAAGTGCTGATTTATTTTTAACTTCACCATTGCTTTCAATAGCTTGCTGTCATTCTTCTGAAAGTAAGTTCTTGCCCTGCTCCGCACAGTCCCCTCTGGTTTAAACAGCTGAACAGTCTCCTGCATCTGGGTTTCTTTATGTCTTTGTGATGTATTAGTTTGTTGTAACTAATTCTTCTGAACCAGAGGGGCTTCAGGGTTTTTTTTTTTTTTCACCTTCCAAATCTTTCTTCTCTTGTTTTGAAGTATCACTATGAAATAGTAGGCCTTTATTTCTCCAAGTTCTCTTAATTAGGGTGATTATTTATTCCTGAGCACATCTGTCTCAGAATTGGTGAGTCCCTTCAAGCCCACCCTTTTTCTTTGGTCTTTGAACTCTTCAATGCATTAATATAAAAAGATAATTTGAGCTTGCCTTGTATTTTTTCTTACCATAGAATGCCTTCAGCCAATGAGCCCTGGCTCCATTTTTTTTTTAAAGATTTTAATGATTAACCTTTTTTGTTCACTGGATCTGTATCAAGGCAGCTAGCTACTCAGTACCAGATCAAGTAGTGTTCTCAGCATCAGAGTAGAGGTTAGGATGGATTTTGCTAGACCAGAGACAGTCTTCTGCTTTCATATTGGCAGCCTGCTGGGGCGTCTTGTCTGGCCTTTCTTGCCCTGCACCTTGGAGGCTTTACTGCTTCATCTGACACCCTGTGCATTCTACTCGGATGCCTCAGTTGGCTTTTCTGTGCAGTCTGTTTTCATGTGAAGCTTTTAAGCTATGGTAGATGATCATTTCCTACAGCCACTCCAGCTGACTGGTGCAATTGTTTGTATTTCAGTGTGATCTTACTCAACACGGGTCGATATTGATATAGTCACTCATAAGAGCATCTTTCTTCAGTAGAGGCTGTGCTAACTGGTGGTTTGCTCAGCTTTTAAATGATGGTTGGGTACACTACAGCATGCCCATTTGTTTCATGGTCTGCTGTACACCCTTTCTCAGGTTTGAACTTCTATTACTAGTACATCCTTTTCTGACTAAGATTTGGTTAAATAGGTCCTCCCTTCAGTGAAGAAGAATTTTAACTACATTTTTCTAAGGTCTCACTCCAGGTACAGGGTTAAAGTCTCATTATGCTAAGAAAAATTAAATATGGGTCATTCTGAAATCTGATAAAACCAAGAAAAAGATTTTTTTTAAAAAAATCAATAAATATGAGACCATATGTTTTATATTCATGTATTTAAATGCCTATAACTTGTCTCAAATGCTGACATTAACTTATAATCTATACAATTGTACTTGTTTTTTTTTTCTGGAGTAAAATTCATATTCTATAACCAGACTACTACATTCACATATTATAAACATTATTATGTATTATAGCAGCTAGAATAAAAAAACTTTTTATATTCATAATAACTGTCTCCTTGGGACCACACAAATCATTCCTGTCTCTTGGAGCTTACACACATACATACACACACACTAAAAAAAAAGATGTAAAACCATAGAAATATAACGTAGATTGACAATAGAAACTATTAGCTTATTTCTACCACTGCTCTTGTTTTGTTATTATTATTGTTGTTTCAGACACTAAGTATTCAGCAAGTTCTTGAAGTTAATGTTATTCTATAAGCTAAGTGACCTGCCCTTTCACTGTGAGCCAGTACTCTCCTATAAGCCATCTTGGGCTCCTTTTTGTTAAAGGTTAATAACCAGAATAATGAAGCAGGTGGTTATTTATGCAGTTATGATTGACAAAAGTTATTAGAATAGGAATCTGCCTAGAAGCAATGATTAGGTTATGAAAATGTTAAGGAATATTGAAACTAGTTACAACTTTTGACATTTAAGAAATATTATCCCTACTCTTAATCACGATGATCTTATGTAGAAGTGTATGTACAGAATAATCCCACTGGACAGTAGTTCTATGCCAACAGCATACCTAAGTAAGTGCTGAGAGGGAGACTGAGAAATAATTTGAGTGAAAGGGAGCCTAGGAGAAAAGAGCCACATTAAGAAGCTGGAACAGGCCTCCCTGTGTCCCAGGTGCCTGACCTATGGAGTTGAATCTTTCTGATCTAGTGCTTTCAACTTGAGAATTCTTCACTTGCTAGGAGCTGTGAAGAAGGGCACCCCAGGCCAGGTTACTGTCTTCTCTACACCAGAGATGAGATATATGTGCAAAAAATTCTTGTTGACATTATTGGCAAAATATTGATGTGATTATTGATATGCAAAACAAAAATTCAAAGTATAATTCCTTTATGCTTAATAAAGACCTCAGTGTATAAAATCGGTACTAGTAAAATGCTGTTTACATAAAATCAAGTGTGCTACTGAATGACATTAAACATTTCCCAGAGTAGCAAACTACCATCATCTCACTCCAGAACCTATTCATTACCTTTCCCCCCAAACCTACACCTATTTACCCTGTCTCTCTTTCCCAGTCGGTAGCAACCACCAATTCATTTCCTTGTCTGAGTGGACTGGCCTATTCGTGACTTTTCATATAAATAAATACATATGATATCTAGCCTTTGTGTCAGTATTCTTTTTCACTACATAACATTTTCCAGGTTTGTAGCATGTAACAATCCCTCATTTATTTTATTGCTAAATGATATTCCTTTTATAGATACTGCTCTGTTGATAAGTTGATAGACATTAAGGTTCTTGTTGCTTCTAAGTCACTATGAGCAGGGCTGCTTTAAACAAAAACTCAAACCATGTATGAGTTTTTGTTTAGGCTTTTAATTTTTTTGGATAAATTGGTCGTATTGGGCTATGTAATAAATTTATTTTTTAAAAATATACATTATGTTCCAAAGAAACAGCATATGTACATGTCTGTTAGATTGGAAGGTTCCACTTGAGCATATCCATGTTAAAATCTTTGACTGAGGTTGTCCTACTGGATATAAAGTCCTTTTCCTTTGTGCTTTTCGTTCACCTTTCTCTGATAGCATTTGTGGTTACCATCTTTTTTACTTCTTGGTCATTTATGTATTACTTTTGGAAATTGCCTCAGAACCTTTGCCAGTTTTTAAAATTAGATTAATATTTATTGTTGAGTTATATCAGCTGTTTATATATTCTGAATATTGATCCTCTATCTCATATATGATTTCAAAGTATTTCAATTTGGGGATTTTCTTTGCAGTTTCTCAATCTTTTTTTTGTTTGTTTGTTTGTTTTGTTTTTTGAGACAGGGTTTCTCTGTGTAGCCCTGACTGTCCTGGAACTCACTCTGTAGACCAGGCTGGCCTCAAACTCAGAAATCCGCCTGCCTCTGCCTCCCAAGTGCTGGGATTAAAGGAGTGCACCACCACTCCCTGGCTGCAGTTTCTCAATCCTATATCACAAAGATACACTTGTATGATTTCTTCTGAGAGTTTTATAGTTTTAACTCTTAAATTATTGGCTTCTTGTTTTTTTAAAATTTCCTTTCCTTTCCTTCCCTTTTGGAACAGCATATGGTTGTATTGCCTTGAATTCATGATTGTCAAGAGGATGTTTCCACCTCCTGGATGCTGGGGTTGCAGACATGTGCTCTGTACCATGCCTCATTTTCCTTGTTTACATAATGTGATGGGAGTTCCTCTGCATAGCTCTGCAAAGAAACAAAGAGAAATGTCTCTTCACTGGGGTGATCTGTAGTACTTTCTCTATTCAAATCATTGCTTCATGATTGGACACATGTATGGGTTTTATCTGATGACTCCATACTCACCTACTCTGACATATATTACTGTATTTTCCTCTCTGTTTTGCTTATGGTATCTGTATGTGAATCAGGTTTTTTTCCCTTAATTTGCATTCTCACCTCTTCAGCTACAGTATAGAGAATGCCAAGAACTTCTAAGTCTCTACCAGAGGTACCTATCAGAGCAGCAAGAGAAGCTCACCCTGTCCCTCTCAGAACTTGGAGCTGCTAGAGCACAGGAGCAGCAGGTAAGTGACCTCTTCTGACGCAAAAGGTTCATTTTGCTTTTACGTTGACAGTCACATGGTGAGCATGTTGTTTTACAACTTACACATACCTCATGGCTTCCATGTCTATGGCCTTTCTCTTTCCTTGCCAGTTCCTATTAGTTCAGTGATCATAAAAAAACCTTGAAGTAGGAGGTGGTTATTGGGGACTTTTGATTGAGTAAGAACGTGCACTGACTTGTTACTTAATAACGAGCCACCAGCCCTTTGCTTCTCATGGGTGTTTGGTAGACTTTCGGAAAGCATCTCTTTTTTGATGCTAGTTCTTAGAATAATAAATTATTTGGTGACTTCTGTATAAGCTTCTGTGTATTAACTTAAATATGAGTGTTTATAAGTAACTACTTATCATCAAGTGATGAGTAGTAAGAACCTTGCCTTTTGTGATGTAAAAGCAGGCATGAGAGGCACCCATTTAGCCTTCTAACACCAATACTTGGTGTCTTTGTTCTTATAGAGTAAATCTTCAAATGGCTAGAAATAACCTTTATCTTGACAGAAAGGACTGTGTCACATAACATCATTCATACTGAGCATGAAAATACAGTTAATGTGTACACAAGTGCATTCGGAGTGCACATGATATGTACTCAGTCACATTATGTAAATCAATGAGATGAAGCAGGCACAGAGCACATTCTCCATCTGTGTACCCCAAATAGCATCAAAACCCCAAAGGTCAAACTTGAGGATTCTTTGTAAACTGTCTAAAGAACATTGCTACTTAGCCTAGACACAACTGCTTTAGATGGGATAAGAGATTTCCTAATGGAATCCTAGTTTTGAACCTAAAATTTGCACATATGGGGAAGTAAAAAAAAACAAACCCAACAATATCAATATCACTGTAATGTGATTTAGATGAGATATTTAATGTAGACCATTTTTAGTCATAAGTTTTTAAAGGAATATTCAAATTATTAATGACTTACTGATATTTTAGTTTGAAATGTTGTCTCTTGTTCTATTTTTGAAAGCTAGGTTGTACAGTGGCCACCGAGGAATTTTGCAGCTTATGTTAATTGTTTCTATACATGTCTTCACTAATCTGAAAAGAAGTTGACAACTCTGTGTCAGGTCCAGCCCAGAGTGCGTGTGAAGATCAGGTTCATCCTCTCATTTCTGCTCATGCCCTTGGCATGACAGAGTTGAGGGAGACAGCCCAAAAGTAAAGGCAACTTAAGAAGAGACAATGACAGGAGACAGGGAGCCTTTCATTTAACAAAATTAGTAGACTTCTTCTGGGATGTACAGTTCCCCCTCTTTTAGCCATGGATGACCACGAGACTCAAGATGAGGTTGTTACACTATCCAGGGTATTCCCAAAACCCATCTCCACCCAACCTAAAAGAGGGGACTTCTGCCCCTAGACCAAGCAGAGAGGGGCCACCCAGAACCCCCTCTGACAAGCGATCTGAATTCTTGCTTAGGCTGCGAGGCTAAGCACTGCAAGGGAATATAAGTAAAAGTTATAAATATCTCCCCTGGGTTCCCTGAGGGACAAGCCTGACTGCATAGGGGTTGATGTCAAAAGTATCCCCTCTTCAGGAAAAAGACATCGGGATGGGTATGGCCCTCATGCCTCACTGGACAACGACAGGAGGACAGGAGCCATTACAAGGTCCCCTTCAATTACTGGAGGTTTACTGGAGGTCAGGCCCCTATCCCTGCCTTCGAAAGATTAGAATTGCCACAGCCCTTCTATACTTAGAGAAGGGAGGAGATGTCAGGGGCAGCCCTGCTTACACACTGAAGGCCTAAAATCAGCCATAGGCCTGTCATACATACATGCTAACACAAAGTCTTGGGTCTCTGTGGAAAAAAACACTAAAACAAATGGCTATAAGCTATTGTAAACAGACAGCTTTTGTGGAAATTTACCAGCCTGAGTAGTCATAGATCTTGTAAATAGGTAGCCTTGGCAGATAATACCAACTTAGATAAGGACAAGTGAATCATAGGCAGAGTCATAGTGACCTGTCCCCTGAACCTTCACCCAGCCAATACCCTGTTCTGAAAGATATCTGTACTCCCCCTGAACACCCATGCTCCAGTGTCATCCCCTTCCCCATGTCCTGCCTTTTTGTGTTTATTACCCCTGTGTGAATAAGTAAAAATTACAATTTGATTTAAATAATTAAATAAATAAAAAATCAAAAACAAAACAAAACAAAAAAAATTAGTAGAGCCTTAAAACCGTAGGAGCCGTAGATATGATTGTTAAAGTAAAAGGAAGGAAGAGAAAGGAAACCAACCACAACACTGGCAGGGAAAAAAGGAGTTGACGCCTGGTAGGGAGAGAGTCTCTAAGAATAGCTCGAAGAGGCCAAACAAAACGTAGTAATGATTAACACTGCCACACTTAACTTGAATCTTAAGAGGTATAACTAAAAGAGAAACTAGAAGGAAAATGTCAGCCAAGTCTGTGTAGAGAATGTGCTCTCAAAAGAACATACCCAGTCTTGAAGTGTAACTTGGACTAGATAGAACACTTGCCTAGCATGTGTGAGGAGTTAGGTTTTATTTCCAGCTCCAAAACAAACAAACAAAAAACCAAAAAGATATCTCTTGCTTATTTTCACTTAACCCAGAGAGCTTTTTGAAATATGTATTCATTTTTAATCATTTGTGTATATGTGTGTGTGTGGCTGCATGAGGTACGTGCATATATCTGTGTTGCCATATCTCCTGGATTTGGAGTTACAAGTCTTTGTAAGCTATCCCCTGTCCTGGGAACTGTACTCAGTCTTCTGCAAGAGCATCAAATCCTCCTGACTTTTTAGCCATTTCTCCAGACCTTAGAGGTTTTTCTTTTTTTAAACCAGATTATTTTTTTCATAAAGTACTTGATGATCAGGTTCTAAAATGTTTTCATAAAACACAAAAGTGAAGTTGTGACTTAGAGGTGACTTCTAGGTTCTGATGTTTGACTATAGAAAGGGAAAATAAGTTTCTTTTTTATTAAAGAAGAAGCAGAGTATAATTATAAACTAATAAGAAAGAATCTCTGCAGAGATGGGCACAGACTAATTGTGAAAACATTAAGAATACACTAGATTCCACAGCGAATAAAGGGAAAGGAGGAGTTAGGTCAGTATGGACTTTGTGAAGGGTTACTAGGTCATGAAACCATAAAGACAATAATGAAAGAGGAAAAATGAGTCTTAAAGGAGAGTAAGGGGCAGGAGCAAATACACACACACACACACACACACACCAGAGACACACGAGTGCTCACATACACATTCACATGCACACACACACTCACATGTACATACACACATACATACACACACATGCGTGCACATACACACAAAGTTTAAAAGTAAATTCTAAAAAGGGAACACTCGTACAGTGGAAGAAGGGCAGACTACTTGGGGGAGGGAGTGAACTGTCAAAAGGGCGTGGCCGAGGACGGTAGAGAGGCAGATTAATGAAAACAAAGTACAAATGAAAATTCCAAGATGAAATTCATTGCTTCAGAGATTACTTTTAAAAAGCTAATTAAAGTATAATCTGAAGTGATAGATGAAGCGACTTTATTCCAAATTACCAGAGGTAAAAACACAACTAGGAATAATTTTATGGCTTTAGAATATTGAGGCAAACACTGGATTTTACATAATCTATAATATGACTATTGCTGAAAAAAATATAGACCATGCCATCTCCTAAGGAAAAAAATTTTTTTTTCCAAAATAATTGTACCCTGTAGTAGTTTAATGGAAGCAAGCCTACTTGAGTTATTTACTATTTTCTTTTCTTGTTCTGATAAAATACCTGAAAAAAGAAGTCAAAAAAGGAAGGGAGGGTTATTTTGACTCAGTCTGAGAGCCATGGCCGGGAACTGTGGTGGCAAGAACATGAGCTGAATCCTGGTGCTCAGCTCATGTTCCTTTTATCTTAGTCCAGGAACCCATCCCATGGAATGCTGCCCTCCTTCCTGTCTACAGAATGAATCTTCCTACCTCAGTCCATCTAGTAACTCCCTCACAGAAATGTCAGAAGTTTGCTTCTGTACTAATTCTACATCCCATAGAATTGACAAACAGCATTAACTATCCCAAGTTATAAAGTTAAACTTATATAATATAAGCTTATTATATATAAAATCTTCATCCATTTCACAGATACTGATTAATGGAGTAAATCTAAGACTGCTGCTTCAGTGTACTTATACCTGAGCTGCTCTGAGGTAATCCAAAGGGAAAGCTTACAATGGGCTATTGTAAGAACTCAATTGTGTTTGAAGTTTCTTTGCTATTTGGAATATAACGTATAAAAATAAAAACAATTTTGAGATCACCATCTTTGGGGACAAGGAGCTTTAGAACACACATATAGCCGTCATCACTAACTGCAGTAGGTAGGTTTGAATGTATTTTTTTTATGAAACATAGTATTTGTATTAATTCTTTGAGAATTTCTTAGAATGTAGTTTTTCCTCTTTTAATATATTGATTTATTTCCTTAATTATATATACCCAAAAATTGTCAGATATTGAAATAGCTGCAAGCATTAGTTTGTTTCTGATTATGATTGCATAGGCTATTTAGAATCATTCTTGTGCTTTCATATAAACATTAGGATGGCTTTTCATTTTCTACTTTTTCGTTCGCCTTAACTCCTAACAGATTCACCTCTATTCCCTTGCAACTTCATGGTCTATTTTATTTTAATAGCCCACTAAATCCAGTTTCTGCTACCCATTGTTTATGGGTCTGGGGCCACTCAATGGAGCACAATTGGCTTACCAGCAGCCAAACTCTTAAGGAGAACTGACTCCCTTCCCAGAAGCCGTAGCTCCTCAGTTAGGGGTGGAGGCTCATGAGCTCCTCCCCACTCCATGGAGGCTCCTGAAGCACAAAGGACTCCACAACATACTCCACAAATCCTTATTCAGCCTCAGCCGTGTTCACAGCTGCTCTAATCACTATAACTAGCAAATGGAGATAACCTA